TGCAATAACAGTCGCAAATATGAATGTTGATTGTTATTTTAAGAAGTAAGGGGGTACAAATTAAAAGGTTTGAACTTGACAACTTTGTTTCTTTTTCTCGCTGAAACTAAGTAGCAAGATTTTCAAGTCTTTACACTCGATCAAAACATTAATTATTTATGAGATATTGACAGGAGACGTTAAACGCTTCAATCTCTCTTTCTCTCTTTCTTTCTTTCAGTAATTTTTCTTACTTTTTCTCAATGAAATCAAGTAGCGTCTCTGATATGTCTTTTCCGTCTTTTCACTCAATCAACACGGAAGAGTTTATTATTCATGATCTGTTGTCAGGAAACGTTAAACTCTTCTAAACTTTCCTTCCTTCTTTCTTTCTTTCTTTCTTTCTTTCTTTCAGTGTTTTTCTTTCTTTCTTTTTCTCAATGAAATCGAGTAGCGTCTCTGATATGTCTTTTTCGTCTTTCTACTCAATCAACACGGAGTAGCTTATTATTTATGAGCTGTTGGCAGAAGACGTTATCTTCCCTTCTTTCTTTCTTTTTTCTTTAATAGTCTATTATTTATTAAGTATTGGCAGGTGATAAACCTGCGTACCTGATAAGATATGGAAGAAGAATTATGATACAAACAGAATTATAATATCATACAAAACAAAAAAATGATGAATTTAACGGATGCTAAAGATAAGTGATAGGAAATGTTAGAAAATTATGATGATAATATTAAACGCTTCCTTATGAGGAAATATTTGACATTCATTGACCGAGCAACCAGTTCTACTGTCCGTTGAAACTGATAAAAATTCTCTATTGAAACAATTTTTCAGAAGAATACCTTGTCTCAAGTTTAGTGAATACAATCGCCCGTTGCTGTATCGGTGAGGGCTTCCTTACATTTCTTTAAGCAAATCATCCCAAGCAAGGCAGGAGTGCCACTAGCACGCAAGGAGTTACAGAGAATGAGAGTAAGACTAAAGATGAGTGTTTGGGAAAAGGATAAAGAGAAGGATATGGATCAAGATCAAGGCATCAGAAGATGTCGATTGACATTGCATTTGAATATTTCAAGATCATAGATATCAGGGAAGCCAGTGATATAAAGGCAGTTCCTCTGACGGGACGTGCGAGAGAAGAAGCTGTTGCCGTAGAAGAGACAGTGAAAGAGTGGGTCCGAGATGCCAACCTAGTAGCACGCTTAAATTCATGCAGTTTGGGAACCGGTGAAAGTAGCTCGTCGGAGCGGTTGCCATGAAAATACTTATAGAAAAGACAGAGGGAAGCCACAGCACGTTTGTGACTTATTTTGTTTCATGTTGTGTGGAACGTCGACATATTCATTCAGCCATCATTTTCTCATCGATTTACATTTGCACTATTTACATTATTCGGACTATTGTCCTCATCTTTGTCGCCATATTTATTACAACGTTTCGGTCGTTGTACGCTCCGGCCTTCTTCAGGTGATTGTAATGTCGAACTGAACCCTTGATTTCGCTCACTGGGGTAGTCTGTACTAATTCCACGTGCCATGTTTAATGGATGTCAGTTATCAATTATCTCCTGTTAATTACCCTCTCCAAGTTGTCCACTGCCTTAACCGGGTATTGAACTCACACTCTTTAGGTCATGACACTGGATCTAACCAACGCCTTGGATGATTCAATTATCAGCTTAGTAGAGTGTGTGTGTTCTGTGTATGTTCAGTGTGTGGTAGTGATGTTTTTAGTTTCCGAATACGGTTAGCACATTGTGGCTTTGTTCATAGTTAATATTGTTAAGAGTTGGCTTTTTCTTTTTTATTAATAGAGCTTCCATTATTTTGATAATGGCTAAAAGTATAGCCGAAAGCGCTCGGAAACACAGAACATTCGGACAGTTCTTACACACTCTTTGTCCAGAAAAGAAAGCTCTTGTCAGAACACAAGAAAAATTAAATAAAAAGCTCAACCGTAGTACCTTGTCTGTCGTTTTTAATTAAACATGCATATAGGAAGGATTGCTGCCTAAATATATAAATATATATATATATATATATATATATATATATATATATATATATATATATATAACAAGCGTGACGTATAAATGTGTGTGTTTGTGTGTATCTACAATTGTAACCAATTAACTGTTTATATATATATATATATATATATATATATATATATATATATATGTGTGTGAAAAGTGAATATAAATATAAATAAATATATATATATGTATAATTATTTATATATTATATACGCAGTACTTATTAGAAAGCGCTCAATATCAGAGATAGAGCTAACATATTTGGTTGGATAGATGTGAGTTTGTGACCCTGGAAACCCAGGGTCACAAACTCACATCTATCCAACCAAATATATATATATATATATATATATATATATATATATATATATATATATATATATATATATACACTGGCTGGGATGGGTATATTTTTAACTTCACACATGCACGTTGTTTGTTTTTATTTTGTCGACTACACAGTATAGTAAGGTCAGTTGGTCATCGTCTGTGACAAAAAGTGCATCATGACGCAATTCACTCCGCCAGGCTGTACTGCTTGGCATTCGCACCGGAAGCTCCAATACGAACATTTAAGAGTATTTGGTTGTCAATCTGAGAACAGCTTAGAGGAATATGAAAGAGATGGATGATATAACCAATCAACATCATGGTGTTTGGAGTGATAACTAGGGCCTCAGATTTAACAGGAAGGCCTACATCAAGTACCTTGAAGAGGTAGTACTGCACTGCGTCAAGGGGAAACTGCTGGAAGACCCTGGCAAAAGGATGCTGCACCATGACAAATATACAGGGGAAACCAGTCATGGCTGTTAGACAATTACTGTTACCATATCACCCCTTACATCTGGCCACCTAACTCGGCAAACTGCCACCCCCTTGATTATTATGTATGGGGCGTAGTTGAGCGAGAGATGAACAAAACTTCTTGTAACACCAAAGAGGAACTGAAGGCAAGGATTAGAGCAGCATTTAACAACTTAATCAAGGAGACCATGCAGGAGATTTAAAAAGATTCCGAAGTCGTCTTGGAGGACGTGGTTGAAGCCAAAGGCGATTTTATTGAAGGAACTTACTCTTTAGCTTTTGAAGATATTGTTGTATAATTTTGGTAAATATATCTATTAAAATGAGGTGGCAGTATTATTTTCATTTTTGTGTTATTTAGACGACAATTTACCCATCGCACCCTGTATGTATACGCACACACACACATACATATATATATAAGCACATCATTTTTTGCATATACAAAGATATGTTACCTTCAGATATATCTTAAATCACATATATATATATATATATATATATATATATATATATATATATATATATGTGTGTGTGTGTGTGTGTGTGTGTGTGTGTGTGTGTGTAGTAAGATTGTGATTCAGAAACAAATAGAGATATAAATTGAGAGATTCTCAGCAAAATGCACATGAACCTCAAAATGAAGGATTATGCGCGTCTCTAGCGCTGAGAGTTCATTTAAAATTAACCGGATTTTGCCTGTTTAAAAATTCTTTCGGAAGGAATCACTTATGTAATAAAACCAATGGCTGTTGTTTAATTAAACAAAAGAAAGAAAATAAAACTCAAAGTCAAATATCGAAATATTGATTTTTGATATAACGTAACAAAGAAAACATATATGTTTAGTTTACAGTCAGACATCCTCTTTTGAACTTTTTGTATTTAAAGAGATATCAACCTAAAATATTTTTTGTTGGATTTTCGCTTTTTATCTTAATTTCACGATCCTGTAAAGAATTTAGCGGGAACCATTACGGTAATTTGGTATTATCTGTAATATTTTTCTTTGATTATATTTATGCCTTTGTTTCATTTTTTGCGTGCAGTAATTCAGTTATTGTTCTTTTAACCTCCATCAGATTCAAAGAAAATGAGAAAAATTGGGATTTTTTCTCCTTTGACAATTTCGTTCGGCTTAGAAGTTCGTAATGATTTCCTGTTTCATTGCCAGTTTGTTCTTCGAATTCTAAAACATGCAAAGATATTCGCGCAAACATTATATATCGATCCACTCTCCAGACATGATTTCACGTAGACTGTATTATATAGATATATATATACACAGATATATAGACACAAAGGATAGATAGATAGATAGATAGATAGATAGATAGATAGATAGATAGATAGATCATTACGTGATTGAGATAGATCATTACGAGATTGAGATAGATAGCTCATTAAGAGATTGAGATAGATAGATCATTACGAGATTGAAATAGATCTTTAAGAGATTGAGATAGATAGATAGATAGATAGATAGATAGATAGATAGATAGATAGACCATTACAAGATTGATATACGCACGTAGATTATTAAGAAATTGAGACAGATCTTTAAGATATAGATAGATGGATCATTAAGGGATTGAGATAGATAGATAGATAGATAGATCATTAACAGCTTGAGATAGATAGATAGATAGATAGATAGATAGATAGATAGATAGATCATTAATAAATTGAGATAGATAGATAGATAGATCATTACAAGATTGATATAGGCACGTAGATCCTTATGTGATTAAGACAGATCTTTAAGAGATAGATAGATAGAGAGATAGATAGATAGATAGATAGATAGATAGATAGATAGATAGATAGATAGATAGATCATTAAGAGATTGAGATAGATCATTAATAGATAGATAGATAGATAGATAGATCATTAACAGATTGAGATAGATCATTAATAGATAGATAGATAGATAGATAGATAGATCATTAACAGCTTGAGATAGATCATTAATAGATAGATAGATAGATAGATAGATAGATAGATAGATCATTAATAGATAGATAGATAGATAGATAGATAGATAGATAGATAGATCATTAAGAAATATAGATAGATAGATAGATAGATAGATAGATAGATAGATCATTAATAAATTGAGATAGATAGATCATTACAAGATTGATATAGGCACGTAGATCCTTATGTGATTAAGACAGATCTTTAAGAGATAGATAGATAGATAGATAGATAGATAGATCATTAAGAGATTGAGATAGATCATTAATAGATAGATAGATAGATAGATCATTAACAGCTTGAGATAGATCATTAATAGATAGATAGATAGATAGATAGATCATTAAGAAATTGAGATAGATAGATAGATAGATAGATAGATAGATAGATAGATAGATAGATAGATCATTACAAAATTGATATAGGCACGTAGATCCTTATGTGATTGAGACAGATCTTTAAGAGATAGATAGATAGATAGATAGATAGATAGATAGATAGATAGATAGATAGATAGATAGATAGATGGTTGGTTTTGCTTATTGGCATGTCACCTTCTATGTTTGAAATGCCGAAATATAAATATTTTGAACCAAATTTTACGCCTTCAACTAAATGAACGCAACTGTATGCCTTCAACTGCAGATAAAATATTCTGTTGGTCATTTTGCTATAAATGTATTTTTGGTAACTTTACTAAAATATATTGCTGGTCATTTTGCGTTAAAAATTTATTGTTTGGTTATTTAACTATCAATATCTATTGTTGGTAATGATTTTTTTTTATACTTTCATAGCGCCTTGATTTTGGTTGGAGGTTCACTATATTTCCATAACTCGGACCCGAACAGGTGTTACCACGCTGAAGCAGGGAAGTCCCGGGAACAACAGCAATTAAGATGTGATTCCACGCTCCTCAAAACCTCCAATCTCCCGGGAACAACAGCAATTAAGAGGTGGTTCCACGCTCCTCAAAACCTCCAATCTCCCGGGAACAACAGCAATTAAGAGGTGATTCCACGCTCCTCAAAACCTCCAATCTCCCGGGAACAACAGCAATTAAGAGGTGATTCCACGCTCCTCAAAACCTCCAATCTCCCGGGAACAACAGCAATTAAGAGGTGATTCCACGCTCCTCAAAACCTCAATCTCCCCAACAACAGCAATTAAGAGGTGATTCCAACTCCTCAAAACCTCCAATCTCCCGGGAACAACAGCAATTAAGAGGTGATTCCACGCTCCTCAAAACCTCCAATCTCCCAGGAACAACAGATTTCCACGCTCCTCAAAACCTCCAATCTCCCGGGAACAACAGCAATTAAGAGGTGGTTCCACGCTCCTCAAAACCTCCAATCTTCCGATTAGAGGCCTTGCTACGCGTTGTTTTCCTTCTCTCTTTCTCTCTATTCGACCTGTGAGTATCAGATTCTCCAGGCCCTCCTTCCTCATTATGTGTCCCAGAAACTTCAGCTGCCTCTTCCTGGTGTTAAGTATAAGCCTCCTACTTGTTTGCCTCCTCTCTAAGATCTCATCGTTGCTCACATGCTCGGTCCATGATATCCTCATCATCCTTCTGTAGAACCACACTTCCGTCACCTCGAGTTTCTTTTTCATCTCTGAGGAAACTTTTCAACATTCGCTGCCATAAAGAAGGACAGATGTCACGTAACAGCTCAGTATTCTTTTCTTTGTTACCAAAGAAATCCTCCCGTCTCGCAATAATCTGCCCAGCTTTTGGATTGTATCCTTGGCCACCCGTCAGTTCGTCTAATGATCTTAGTGTCGTACTTACCGTCCTCTGTCAAGACGCTTACCAGATATTTAAACTTCTGTGTCTGCTTGATTCTAGTGTTCCTGAACTACAAATAGCATTTTGGGCTCATCCTCTTACTGACGTCCATGCAATCTGACTTGTAGTTTATGCTTAGTCCTTACAACTTTTATTTGGCATATACGAATAACCAGCTGTATATTTATGGCCCTTTGGTAATAAATAATGAGTAAAATTGTTAATTTTGAAACCAGAAATGTTTTAAAGGATCGATTGAAAAATATTTTCCATATTTGTCTATCGCATATTTTTCTGATTCATTTTTTGTGATTTCACCATCACCATCATCGCTATGGTTGGTTGAAAATCCATTGATAATCACTTTCCACACTGTACAATCCTGTATTCCTGTCCGCAGATCCCTAATGACCAACTCTGAGTCCCCTGTTATCTTATCTGGGAAAATCAATTTTCGTGAGAAGACCCTTCCATACTAATGCCATAGGAGTAGCGATAAGACTATTTCCTGCTCGCTCGATGGCAGTGGCCGGCAAACTGTAATCGTTTTTGTGATTTACAACGTCTGATATGACGAGATTTGCTTTAAAAAAATTTATAACATAAATATGTTATAAAATCACTACAAAAATAGCCATTTTGCTTCAACACCCCCAGTATCTTATCAAGTGATGATGTCGAATGTAAAATAAATGGTTTTAAAAGTTTCAAATTAATTAACAATCCTTCGCAAGGGGAAGACCTTGTTACAAAAGCTAGAATGACCAATCAAAATACAACTCTAGGAAAATTCAAAAAGCTTGTGAACGAAATTATGTTATAATAGCTATTCAGATCTTTAAAATACGATTAATATTAAAAAAGAATTTATTCTAACCAATAATTATTAAATTATATGATAAAATTTGATATTAAAATTAAAAACTGCCAATTTTAAAATACAAATTTAATCACTATTAAGTGTAAAAATTATAAAATTACTGAGGAGAAAAGAAGAAATACATATGTTATTCAATTTATTTCTCGTTGAAATTACGTTACGTTAGAACAGACGCTTCGTCATCCGGTCATCCGACAATATATTTTATACATTTTAATCCCAAGTGTGTGAATGGGGTCTTAAACTCACGCGTAAAACAACACAAACACAATCAGATTATAATACATAGGCACCCAGACATATTTAGATATATATATGCACACACAAAAAAAAGTGACAAGACAGGGAACATCTCCACGGCCCTTTATTGGAATTCATTCCGTATATATATATATATATATATATATATATATATATATATATATATATATATATATATATATATATATATATATATATATGTGTGTGTGTGTGTGTGTGTGTGTGTGTGTGTGTGTGTGTGTGTGTGTGTGTGTGTGTTGATGAAGCATATCTACAGCATAAACCAATTGTTTTAGTTTTCCTCACGGATAAAAATCCAAAGTAATAAGATGAGGGGGAACGTGAAGATCATGGAACCCTTCTCTTACCTATTCATCTTTCATGGTAAATGTCCGCAAGGGCATCGCGAATAATGCGGCTGAAACATGCCGGATCCCCACCATACATGAACCAGATTCATCTTCGTATTAGCAGGGGTACATCCCCTAGCAGATCTAGAAAACTGTTCGAAATTATATCCCCATAGATCGCTCTTTTAAGACATGCTGGGAAAATATATGGACCTTAATCGTAAAGCTATGCTTGTGTCTAGCCTGCATTGAATTATGGGGATTCCGATCCGTCCACAAATGTTGCGTTCATTATCTTATTTAATTTCGGCACCCCAGAAATCGTATGTTTGTTTATGAAGATTCATTGCTCTGTAAGTCATAGATCTAGCTGTGCAGAATTCATGTTTCAGATCCTTCATCGACTTAAGTATATCATATATGCGTTTCTTAGCCGACGGTCGCATTTCATTACACACCTATGCCCTTAATGTAAGATGCATAGTGTTAAGTTAAATTGGTGTTTGTCGCGTCCTGTGATCTCTCTTGCTTGACCGTAACAAGTGAAAGTGTAATTGCTCGTACAAGACTCGACTTCGTTTAATTCTGTGTTAGAGTTTCATGTGAGTTAGGGTCTATATTCCTTCTTTTCAATTCGGAAAGTCAAATTCCATAAGAATTTAATATACACTCCGTTTCCTTCGAGATTCTTTCCCGCTCGATCTTTCGTATATGGAAGGGTTTGCTTCAAGATTTTTAAAATAATTTTTATTTATTTTATATATATAAAATATTACGTAACGTACCCCTGTTTAAAATTATGGTCGAACATACACAACATAATCAGAAAATAAGAGCGATGACTATAGTAAGTTTAAATTCAACATTTTTAAAATTGGATTACAGAGAATGTTTTCCAAGGATTACTGACTACTTAAAATTATGCAAAAAAGGCGCTTATTCGTCATTTTCTTAAATTACGTTTTAACAGATAAAGTCTCTTTAGAACATTAAATAAATCTGTCAAAAATTTATTAATGCCTATTAAGTGATCTATGAGTGATATTGCGACGGGGACAAGTGCGTAATCACCGCTACTACTTGTTTTAAAAATCTATTTCTCTGTTATTTTAAACTTAAAGTAAATAATATTTTTTTAAAAATCAGATTAATTATACTTTAAATAAGTTAATATTCTTCAAATAATGTTTAAGAAAAGTATATTTTATTTTTTGAAGATTTTTAAAATCGAAAATTAACTTTTGTAGACAAATGTGTCAAAAATGACTGAATTTGTAGGATTTCTGAATGCGAGCAAAATGGTGAGATTCCAATCAATATAATTTCTAACTAAAATACATCAGAGTATTTTGCTTACTGGAAATAGCAAATTTAATCATTTCGTTGTCAAATAAATCTAAAAATTATGCTTCAAGAATGCTTTTTCATTAAAAAAAAAACTTTTTAAAACTTAATTATAGAAAAAGCAGTGGAATTGCCTATATATATATATATATATATATATATATATATATATATATATATATATATATATATATATATATATTATAAACTGTATAAGGTCTTTCATAAGTAGTTTCAACTGTACATTCAGTCATTTTCAGGCATGGAATTTTTTTTATTTTTGGTAAAATCCAGGTATCATCCGAGACGAAAAAGTTAAATGCGAATCGAAATATGTTTGTTTTTAGAAATGTCTTATTGTTAACTGATACAAACTTTAACAATAACACATTAAAAAAAAACATATTTCGATTCGCATTTAATTTTATCGTCTCGGATGATATCTGGATTTTACCAAAAACAAAATAATTTCTATGTCTGAGGATGACTGAATGTGTTGTTGAAAATACATAACATTCATATATATATATATATATATATATATATATATATATATATATATATATAAGAAATTGATGGATTTTATTTCTAATTCACCATCAGTTCATATTACTCTAAACATCAGTTTAGTCAATGCACGTTGAGCATATATCTTTTTATTAAGTTTATTAAGTGTGTGTGTGTGTGTTTGTGTGTGTGTCTGTGTGCGCTGAGGGTTGTTTGGGAGAAAGAATAGCGAGCGAGTGTAAACGTGTGTGTAAAGCGTTCATTCCAGTATCTTTACGTACGTATTATTTGTTTCCATATTTCGTGTTTGCCAAAGAACGTATATATATATATACAGGAATAAATGTAAATGTGTGATAGATAGATATATAGATATATACACCGCGTGCCAAATTATTATCGAGCTAACGTATATTAAATTTGCGTAAACCTAATATTAAACGATCTATGTATACTGCGTGCCAAATCATTATCGAGCTAACTTATTTTCAAATATTTCAAAAACCGTCCAATCAATTCACACAAAATTTTCACACACTGTTGGCAACTTTGAGCTGCGCAATCACTTGAATTTTCTTACTGATCTGCGCAAAGTAAACAAACATATTTGTTATCAGCACGGTGATTTGAGCGTACCAAATTATTAGAAAGGTTTAGTAAAATTCCCAGAATTTAGCAAGCAAAACGTTTATTAATGTTGTACGTGAATGTTTATGATCAAAAGAAGCTAATAAATAAGATAATCAAACAAATAATAACAGATACAAACAAAGACACAGTTTTAAACAAATTAATAGGGAATGTGCTTTCCCTGTTTTTAAATTAAAGTCGATGATCCATCGAATTTGTTAATTGTAGGATGTCATCTGCTGTAATGCCGCGAGATATGTCAAGAATTGCTTCCCACAACTCAGCGTTGCTCCTGAATTGTCGTCCGTTGGCGTACAGTCTTCGCTTCCTGATGCTCCAAAGGTTTTCGATTGGGTTCAAATCCGGAGAATTTGCTGGCCACTTCATTTTTCGAGGTCCATCGAAGCCTAACTGTTTCAAATATTCGGTAGTCTTGTGAGCAGCATGTGAAGGAGCATTATCTTGCATAAAAACAATGGCCCTTCTGAAGACAAATCTTTGCCTTATCATCCACGGTTCAAGATGTTCCTTCATAAACGCTATGTATGCATCAGCAGTCATTTTGATGCCATCTGGTACTCTCCATGGGTCCACTAATGTTTTTCCAATAATACCACCCCAGATCATTATGCCTCCACCGCCTTCTTGGTGTCTCAAACGCTGATGGCGATTCTGTCCGTTCATTACCCAAACTTTGCACCATCTATCTGGCCCATCAAGTGTTCCTCCAGTTTCGTCTGTGAACAAAACTTTAGAGAAGTCAATCTTCATATTGTCCTCGGCCCATTTCAATCAATTTTGAATATGATTTCTCTTCAACAGAGGCTTCGATACAGGTTTGACTGTTGTTGCTATTTCCCTCAGATACCGACACCGAGTACTTTTAGACACAGTAGGATACCCAATGCGAGTGAAAAGCTCTTGACTGGTAAGTCTAGGATTCTTCGTGGCCTCTCGTTTAAGTCGTGACATGAGACAACGTGAAATAACCCTCGGCTTGCCTTTATCTGCCCTTTTGCGTACTTGTGTAGGGTCGGTGGTGAACTTTTTCACTGTTTGATGACACCTCCCTATCATTTTAGAAATTTCTAGGGTAGATTTACTTTTTGAGAGTTCTGAGGTGATAGTTTTCTTTTCAGAAACAGTAAAACTGCTTTTACGGCCCATCTTTTCACTAAATTCTTACACTTTTCTAATAATTTGGCACGCTCAAATCACCGTGCTGATGATAAATATGGCGCCAGTTTGTTTGCATTGCGCTGATCAGTACGAAAATTCCAGTGATTGCACAGGTCACTGTTGCCAACATTGTGTGAAAATTTTGTGTGAATTGATTGGACGGTTTTTGAAATATTTGAAAAAAAAGTTAGCTCGATAATAATTTGGCACGCAGTATAGCTATATCGTTTAATATTAGGTTTACGCAAATTTAATATACGTTACAACCTCGGTTCTCGAACGTCTCCCATGTCGAACAAATCGGTTTTCGAACAGAAAATTCGAGATGAAAATGCCTAACTTAACGATCAACATTGCCGAACCGAGTTAACCTGAACGAAATAATTTCTGAGTCGACCGCCGTGTTGTATATATTCGCGTGTTGTGGCGTGCTGTTTTTTTCCAATTTTATTTTAGTGTTACTTTTTTTTTTTTCTCTACATTGATTCTTATTGTAAAATAGTTTCGGTTTACGAACATTTCGGGTTACGAACGGCCTTCAGGAACGAATTAACTTCGTAAACCGAGATTCCACTGTATCTCCATTTAGTCTTTCGAATCCACATGCTATTAAATGTCTGACAGCGTGTGTATATTCAATACTAAATATGCATATTCAAATATTTTAAAGTAACGCATATATATATATATGTGTGTGTGTGTGTGTGTGTGCAGCAAGAAAGAAAGACAATGTATACGTAGATATTCAGAAGAATCGATACACTGAGAGACAAGAGGCTTTTATTGTACAGTTAATTGGTTTATACATTTATTTCTGAAATGGCCTTGCTGCAAGGAAAGGGTGAATGATTTTCTTTAGAGCGACTAATGTAACTAATTTTTGACTTTCGACTGTCCAGAATGTTACCAGAGGCAATCATTTTCAATGAGACAATGAACAATAAAGTCTGAAATGTTCTGAGATTCTCCTAGACATTACCAAACAATAGATCTAAGTTCTTATTGTGTTAATTGTGGAACATAAAACCTTGGGGCTAGCCTTTGTCTAGACGGAAGCATTTGAACATCGAGTGGCATGATTCTAAAATTTTCTTACCTTGATTTCTCTATTTCCTGGTCACTCTTAGTTTCGAATTCCACAAACACGCACACACGCAAACATATACGAGCATGTATACACACACACGTAGGCACGCGTACGCACACAGACACACACACACACGTAGGCACGCTCACGCACAAACACAGACACACGCGTACACACTATTATAGTTCGTGTTTGTAAAGGGATGTATACACATTTTTCGAATTCTCCTGAACACACACACATAAACATATATATATTTATACGCACACGCGCACACGTGTGTGTGTATATGTGTGTGTGTTAGCGTGTGTATATATTTTGGGTGAAAGTTCGCATATGTATTCGAGAGAGTGTAAACGCGCGTGCAAACGAGATTATCTATATCTTTTTATGTACGTATTAATTGTGTTTATATTTTGTATTTACAAAGTGATCTTTACATACTTCTTCTATTCATTTTACCCCAAGTAAGGCCCTAAAACGCAAGGAGTTAGTGAGCGTTAAAGAATATGAGGTGAAAAGCGCTATTAAGGAGAGAAAACAAATAAAAGAAAAAAAAATAAGAAGACACAATAAGAAGAGACAATAAGAACATTGACATCACATTTACATTTTTGACGATCAAATTTGACTGAAAATCAAAAACACGGAAGAGAGTTCAACAAGAGAGAAGTGCGATAGAAGAAACTGTTAAAGTAGAACTTACGGTTACATCAAGCCATTTCAACTGTAAAATGATGTGGCCTTACCGCCAATGTAGGACTGCTCTTAAATTTATAAAGTCTAGATACCAACGTTCATCAGAATAATTAACATGAAAATATTTATAGCTACGATATGTAGATTACGGAGGTGGGAAAGTGACTGAAAGCAAGGTGCCATGTCAAGACTAATAACATTGCAGCTTGTTCTTTGAATTTTATCTCTCAATATATTGAACCGGGGCACCAGACCAGATGTAGCAGGACTAAATATAAGCAGGTGATAGATAGATAGATAGATAGATAGATAGATAGATAGATAGATAGATAGATAGATAGATAGATCATTAAGAGATTGAGATAGATCATTAATAGACAGACAGACAGACAGGCAGACAGATAGATAGATAGATAGATAGATAGATAGATAGATCATTAAGAGATTGAGACAGATCATTAATAGATAGATAGATAGATAGATAGATAGATAGATAGATAGATAGATAGATAAGAGATTGAGATAAATCATTAATAGACAGACAGGCAGACAGATCATAGATAGATAGATAGATAGATAGATAGATAGATAGATAGATAGATAGATAGATAGATAGATAGATAGATAGATTAAGAGATTGAGACAGATCATTAATCACGCTGATAGATAGATAATTTTAGATAGATAGTACATTTCACGCTGTTATAATTTTTAACGGGTACAGTGTTATGTATTCAGTAGCTATCTTCAAAATCTATAGTTCGATGGAAATCTTCGCTTATACTCTGTGTGTATGTGAGAGAGTGTGTGTGAGAGAGAGGGGGAAGAGAGAAAGAAAGAGAGGGAGAGAAAGTAATAGATCAAATGTGGATCGGAATCCGACAGGATGAGAAAAGAGAGAAAAAAAAAAAAGAGGAAACATATATCAATCTGTAATGTTTCACTTTTATTAAACTTCGGCAGAGATTGAGAAAAAAAAAACAGACAAAAAACCAGAAACTCTGTTATTATCCATTTCGTTTGGGTCAGTTCTCATTGGTCAGACACGTGTCACGTGCATTAAATCCGTAGATAATTGTAAGTGTATGGAAGTTTGTGAAGATTCTTTTATGCCTAAGTGAACATCAGATGGTAATGTGTATTCGTAATTGTGTATGTGTGTCTGTCTAGTGGGAGTTCTGATGTCTTCACCTTTGTGCGGTCAGCCGGGGCAGCGGTGTGTCACATGATTCCAATTCATGGCTGGCATCTTTAAGTATGTATTCTTAGTATTAGATAGATATAAGTTAGATTCTTTAAGAATGGATTCAAAGAAAGATGGCGATGTAATGCAATATTTTAGACGTGTGTTTTTAGTTGGTAATAATGTCATTGTTAAATTTTCAATGCACTCTCTCCTTAAAGAACTGCGTTCTTTTTTTAATTAGCTTGGCATTAGTGAAATCAAAGTTATGTCCAGCATCGTTTCAATGCAAAATAAGAAAGATCGTTTGTCCAAACGCAAATTTCTCTTGTGTTCGTAGATGCAGGCTTTTAGATTTTGTGTATGTGTATGTTTGTGTGTGTATGTGTATATGTGTGGCATGGGGTGGTAACATGTATTGTGTTTCACAAAAAAAATGTATGGCAAAGAATGCTGAACAATACCTCGAAGATGTGAATAGATATTTTCTCGGGAGAATGGTAACGAAATGACAAGTATTCCTAACATCAGGAAGAGATATTAATAAAAAATTATCTGATTTAAGTTCAAGTTTATCCAGGAAGTTCTATTCATATTAAATGCTTGTAAACAATCAGTAAAACGTTAAACATGAACTTGTAAAATGAGCTAATGATGACACGAACGAATTAAAATATTTAACTGAATCGTATTAAAATTAACTTTCATTTCAATGGAATGTTGAAATCAAATTCACTGTTTTATAACCTGAACAGTCAATGACACAACGGGTCACGGATAGTCTAGTAATCATATTTTATTTGCAGTCTCGTGGATTTCCATAACTTCCTCTATCTTGTTGCTCCAAGGAATATTTTAATCTTTGCCATCGGTCTTTTCATCACTCTGCCATCCATTTACCAAAAGCTATTATGTGGCTTACTTAATAATTCCCTCTGCTACTCTTTCCTCCAATATGTCAGGTGAGTATGAAAGTTTTCATGAGATCGTCATAATTAAGTCCCAGTAACTACAGAAGAAGAAAATAGAATTAAATAGAGAGGACGTCATTTTACTTTTAGGGGACCATTTCAGCCAAGACTTTATCGAAAAGAGAAAGTTGGCGCTTTGAACAAAATGCGCAAAGACAGATTTATAAATAGTGAATGAGGTGCGAAAATTGGAACGCTATTAAAATAGATTTTAATTGTAAATAAATTAACGAGTAAAAAAAAAATAAATAAAAGATTCCAAAAAGAGTATAAAATAGTGTTGTGACCAAATAAATGGTTAAAGAAATAACAAGGCAAGTGTTACATGTGTATCATATATTAAACAGTAAGTACAACTGAAGAGTAATACACAACTAGTGAGTTTCTGTCTGTTGACCCAGCGTTCAATCTATTCGACTGTTATATTTAACAGACCCCGCCCACGAGGGATGTATGTGGCACAAAGCCGAGTTTACCGTGTTTTTTGCTAAACGGGTTCAGGGACTGTCTACCTCCCCGAACGAAGCTTTGCCGTGGGGCAAAGTTTCGTCCGAGTTCCTCTCTGCCGAGACACAGAGTTCGACAGGATGAACAGCCTGGTCGACTGTTCCCCCTAGGCCTTCTCTCCTACTAATCTTATAGTAGGCGAAAGAGTCTAACATAGACTCTTTAGACGGAGGGCACAACAACAAATAGAAAAAGAATTACTCATATTCCCTCGATCAAACGTAAGGAACGAATGAATATATATGGCACGCAAACACACACACACACACACACACACACACACACACACACACACATACATATATATATATATATATATATATATATATATATTATACACACACACACACACACACACACACACACACACACATATATGTGTGTGTGTGTGTGTGTGTGTGTGTGTGTGTGTGTGTGTGTGTGTGTGTACGTGCGTGTTTGTGTGCTACAACAGAAATACATCCTACATTTTAAACGGTCACCTGTCTACTGCTTATATACTTAAATATCAAGTGATAATTGCCTTCTACGAGCTAATATTTTACCGTTTCTTTTTAAATATCATATATATATATATATATAATATATATATATATATATATATTGGGGGAAAAAAGATCATGGCCTGGACCGGTGCACAACGTGCCTTTGCCGTTGAAATGTTTCTTAAGACTGTAGAAAATGGAGTGCAGATATGAGTCATTGGGGGAAAAAAGAAAGGAATTGAAGCACATTTAAAATTTAAACGTATAAATATATATGTGTGTGTGTGTGTGTGTGTGTGTGTGTGTGTTCTTTAGACCTTTCTCATTGTTCACTTGTTCCGACTAAGGTATTCATTGCATCCATCTGTAGAAGTCCATCACTTCAAGTTTTTTATTCATCTGATGAAATTCATTTGCCCTCACCACCATCTAAGATTATAGACATAACATGTCTGGTCAGCCTTTTGTTCTCTGTTTCTAACGAAATTTGCTATGTTTCTCCAAAACAACTTTTACTATTTCAATCCGACTTCTGATTTCTGTCACAATTTCATCTGTTATTCAGTCAGTTATGGGTCATGCGTCATTCACGCTTAGGTGATTATGTATCTTTTTATACATGACTGACGAGGCAAATTTATTTCCTGCAGTAGGTTGACATTTCTTTCTGAGACAAACTAGTTGCCACCCAAGGTCTGTCCTGCTATTTATCCGGGGATAAGAAGCGTATTCATAGCACGTAAATGAATGTAATGGATTCGACTGGAATTCAAACTCAGCTCTCCGATTCCTCAATCCGAACCGCTATCCATTACTCCATCGTACACTACTCAAATATTTACATTCTGTGGCTCCTTGATTCTGATATCCCCAATTCGATCTCACACCTTTGGTTTCATTTCTTGTCGACGACCATGCATACTATCTTCTTGTAGTTGACTGTTAATTCTTTCTCTTTTTCCTTTCAAATATATCTAAAAAAATCATATAAGAGGGTAAGTAAAAAATGACCTCACTTTCGCCATAACATATCTTTAGCTTTCTCACACAGACTTCTACTTATAGATCGTTCTCCTGTAGTCATGTGATTGAAGTTTGAGCTTGATCTTGCCAATTATCTTGTTGCTGTTACAATGTAAACATGACCGCTCCGCTAGCAGTGTGCACTAAGGAAAAACAAAAGCAGTGATCTGATTTCTCTGATTGGAAGGTGTGTCAAGGTCTGAAATTCATGAGGTTTTAATGTATTAAAATAATGTATTAAAATACAATACGGTGACAGTGCACTACGGCGTACAAGTGTTTATGAGTGGATCGGGAATTATCTGGAGAGACATGACGCAAGAAGAAGGAACAGGACACACGTCCACCTCCACCATTGCTGATAAGATTCAACAAGCTCGGGAGATGGTAATGGCGAACCAGCGAGTTTATCGATGAGGTAACATGTTATCTTTTTGGGGTTTTGACAAGGGAAGTGGTATTTTGCAGACTGAGTTCAAATTTCGTTCAAAGATTTTGCATTCACTTTTCACAAATATCATCTATCCTGCTTCTGGCTATGGGAAAATAACAGAGCAGAACGGTTTCAGTAGCCTTTGGAAACAAACTGAAGAGAGGGGAGAATTTAAATACAAATATCTTGCCTCCGCGTCAGAAGCCAGCGTGGCAGAATAAGACCCATGAATCTTGTTATCTGACAGATCTTGGTAAAGGTTGGAACCCTAAAATGGGAGGAAATGACTGGTCATGAACACACACACACATACACACACGCAGACAGAGTTCAACACCAAACGTTTCTTGCTCGACAGATATTTCTAGGCCATGCGTGTTGTGTTTTGGCTCGATTATTTGTATATGCTGGTCAATACTTCATTATGCGTAGTTTATTGCAGTATCCTAACAGTTATTGGGTAGACAGTAACGTTATATATCAAATTATTTTATGAGAAGGAATAATTGTAGATCCAAATGTGGTTATGTGTAGCTATTTTACAGTGTTATTAACAATTTATTTGCTGTTTATTCTTGATTATTTGTTCTTGATTACTATTACATTTACTAGTGTTTTTGTGTTCATTCATAGTTTGTTAATTTGTTTATTATTTACTTAATTTGTTTATAGTTTTGATCAGAGTTTTTGTTTATTTTATTTTTTATAGGTGTCGGTTATCTTATTTATTATTTGTCTAAGGTTTTTTTGCATTATCTGTGTTGTATATAGTGTATATATATGCAGTTATTATATTGGTATTTTATAAGGTATAAGGTTTTTTTTTACATTTTTAAGTAACGTAGTAAAATATGCTTTCTTGTCTGCATTTAGAGATCTGATCGTTTATTTAGTAATTTCTTTTGATCTGGGAAGGTGATTATAGCTATTTTCTCTTCCAAGCAGGGTTTACAATTTCTGGATTTATTGTTTTAAGCAGTTTTTCTTATTTTCCATGATATTTTTGGTGTAATTTCGTTTTTAATATGCTATATATGTTTCGAAAGGTT